AGTCTACTTCACATTTATCTACTCTCAGCAAACATGCATGTGATCACTTTATGGTAGCCCAGGGAGAGGTCTGGTAAGGAGTGGTAGGACAGCAAAAGAGCTACATTTCAAAGCTCTTCAGTTATGAAGAAAGTTGGTGGTTTTTTACTTCTGAAGTCTGGTTATAGTTAGCAGGACATGCAAAGGTCCCTCCTAAACTTTGTTGTGCTAGTGTGCGACCTGTCATATTTAGGTGTTCTACTTTTGTCCCCTATTTTGAAAGTCCACATGCAATTTTGTAGTGATTTGAAAAACCCAATTAAAAAGTCTTACAGTTGCCTTAATGTAATTTGTTTCATGAACCAATCAGTTTTGTCATCGCATAGCAATTTGTTGGTATATGTAATATATCTTCCTTAAAAATAAATTTTATAGTGTGTGTATGTATGTATGTATGTATATATAGTACAAATTCTTATTCAATTTTAAAAATAGAAAGGTACACAAAAAACAATTGGCAGGTGTCCGACTGTCAGTGTGATCCGGTTCTTGACGCGTTTCGGGGACGAGTCCCTTTCCTCAGAGTTTATCTAGGAGCCCAAGCAGGAGGCTTTCATTAACACTGAGGCATTGGATTCATCCACAGTTAACCAATTATGAGTGTGCATTAGCATAGCCACCAAATATTTAAATAGGTCCGGGCCCCAACCCGAATACCAATCACCATGGGGGAGCGTCTAAGAGCCACTGCCAGAGGTTCCATCATAAGGGCAAACAGAGCCAGCGAAAGTGGGCAGCCCTGCCTAGTGCCATTACCCACCTGAAAGGATGCCAAGAGTTCTCCAACTAATTTGATCTGAGCTGTTGAGGAGGAATATAACAATTTAATCCATGTTCTAAATTCGGGCCCAAAGCTCATATGTTCAAGAACTGCAAACATGTAAGGCCAGGCTACTGAGTAAAAAGCTTTCTTCATATCCAGAGCAACTAACACTCCAGTAGATGAGGCCCTGGGGGGCAGCTGCAAGTGAGTGAAGACCCTATGCAAATTAACATTGGTCGATTTTCCCAGGGATGAAGTCTGTCTAGTCAATACTGATTAGGGAAGACAAAAATTTAATTAATCTGGTAGCCAATAGTTTAGTTAGGATCTTTAGGTCATAATTAAGCAAATAGGCCTATAAGAGGCACAGTTGGACCAGTCCTTACCAGGTTTAGGTAGTAAAGTTATATGATCCTGATACATTGACGGGGTATCAGTTGTGTTTTATAGTCCGAGTAAAGTCAAAGGAGCCTAGGTGCCAGCGTAGCAGCATACTTTCTATACCATTCCCCCGGTATACCATCAATACCTGGAATCTTTTTACCAGGAAAGTAACATATAGCTGACTTTATTTTCTCAACCATGATGTCATTGTCAAGCTCTGTATCTTCTTCCTGCAAGAGCCAAGGAAGACCTAGAGCAGACAAATGGTCATGACGTTTTGATCCAGATACACTTGAGATGGCTTCCTAGAGACCACCATAATAATTCGTAAATTCCTGTGGTATATGGTCAGGGTCAGAAGTTACAGTACTGTCTGCACAACTGACAGTCTGGGCCTTGTAATCTGTTACCAGGTTAGCAAGTAGTTTGCAATTCTTGTCACCAAATTCAAAGACTTGCCTGGGCGAGTAAACTAAAATTCTCAGAGGTCGGGGATTCAGAAATGGCTGCTGCCGCCGAGGCTTAGCTTTCCTCCAGCTGCTGGATCTGAGAGGAGAGGTCCAGTCTAACCATTTAATGCCTGATCTATATTCCCTTCATACATGGGCTTTAAACGCATCCCACACCATGGGAACCGGGGCTAAGCCCTCATTCAGTTCCCAGTTTAGGGACATTGCAGGAGAGATCAATTCCCCAACCTTAAGGTCCTGTATCCACCGGTTTATCAGTTGCCAACAGCCAGGATGACTGGCAGGTGACAAGGGGACACTGAGCTCTATAGGGGCATGATCCGATAAGTCTGCAGGTAAATAGGAGACCACTCACACCCCTGATAAGGCTCAAGCATTGCCAAAAATAAGGTCTGTGCGGGAGGCTAATTTATATGTGGCGGAGAAACGGGAGTAGGCACTAGTGGATGGGTGTTTCCATCTCCAGAGATCAGTATACGCAAGAGCCTGGGCCCAGTGAAGTAGATCAGGGCTATGCATCCTAAGGGGGTCAGAGGAATCAAGTTGTGCATCAGGAATCAAATCGAAATCACCTGCAATATACAGTTGTGAAAACTGCGAAGGGGCTAGTATTTTGTATATGGTGTACAGGACCTGCTGGTTGAGGGGAGGAGGGATATAGACATTGACAACAGCAAACACAATAGATCTAATTTCCAGTAACTGTATAAAATATCTGCCCTGAGGGTCTTTTATAAGATATAAGAATTTATTTAGGAGAATGACAACTCCCCAAGCATAACAGGAGTAAGTGGAATGAAAGGTATGTTGAGTCCAAGATCTACGTAAAGCTAATATCTTATTTCTCAAAAGATGCCTTTCTTGCAGGAGCAAGATATGTGGTTTGTGATGGTTTAAATATTTGAACATAAGCGCTCTTTTGTATTTATCATTAAGACCCCTAGTATTCCACGATATTAATTTCAACTCCATAAGAAGAGAAACAGGGAAAGCCAAAACCGGATATCACCAACTTAGCAAACAGTGCTCCTCAGATAACCCGGGAGAGTGCCAAAATCCCAGAGGAAAGTGAGTAGTGGTGTCTTGTATCGTGCAGACCAGAACAATAGTCAAGAATGAGGGTGCAGCTTAAAAATGGTAAACACCCTACTGACCGTATTACCCCAACAATCAACTAGGCCAGTTTAATTCCCAAAACTGAAACTATAGCTTTTTCAACAGCAAAGTCCAAACTGAAGTAAAAAAGGGTTCACATGCAGTAATGCACCTAAAGTAAGCTGGGGAGTAGTAGATTTTGTCTCGTAGTCAAGCAGCAAAGCGTCTGTGTAAAGTGCTCCCAAACAGGAGTCTGAAAGGGAAAGGCAGTGTGAGCTGGGGAAAGCGGGTGGTAACAGTGGTAATGACCAAAAATACACCCCAGCATGAAAGAGAAATCAGGTGTCCCTATATGTAGGAGTAAATGGAAGAGGTAGCCTCACCTTGAGCCATAGCAGGCCCCAAACACAAGAGCATCAGCATCCATCCAGTGGAAATGAGCGTGTTCGTGGTGAAAGGTTGAAGAGAAGGAGTCCGTGCTTCCAAGACACCAACACAGGAGCGATGGTAGGGCATAGTAAGTGCAAATATGAAGGAACCATATATGTCTTACCGCAGTATGGATGGCCATGAGTCTGCCTCGGCTGGGATATCAAAAAATGTTGTCCTTTCATTTTGCACTCGTAGGCGACTCGGATAAAGCAATCCGTATTTGATGTTACGTTCCCGCAGACGACGGCAGACATCACTGAAGGTTTTCTGCTTCTTTTGCAGCACTTGTACGAAATCTGGGAATAGCATAACGTGGGCATTGCCATATTGTAAGGAGGGGTGCTTCCTGGCCTCTGCTTGGATACGGTCTCGATCCTGATAGTTTAAGAACTCGACTAAGAAGGGGCAAGGGGGGCTCCAGGAATAGGGCAGCCCTCTGGTACATGGCGGGCCCTTTCAGCCACATATGTGGGGGAGACTTCGGTCAGATTTAGGAGATCTTTGAAAAAAGTTATCTGCAAAGTCTGCTGGTCATTCCCCCTCGGCCCCTTCAGGTAGGCCTAGGACCCAGACACCGTTGCGTCAAAGGCGGTTCTCAGCATCGTCCGACTATGTGGTCAGGAGCTTAATCATATGTTGCAGGTCCGCTATCATGTCCTCGTTTTGGCCAATGTGGTCCTCCACAGCTGAAACCCGGGCTTCCGAATGGGAAAGGTGGCCCCTGATCTTATCCAGGTCGGTTCTAATGAGATTACGTTCCTCCGCCAAATGTAGCGAGGTCTTGCTGCGCTCTGTAGCCGTCAGGATCAGGGACGTGTCATCAGCGGGCGGTTGATTGGACTGCGCTGTCAGACTGTGACGTCCCGCTCTCTTCCATCTCTGTTAACAGGGCCTGTATCTTTTTGGCCAAGATGGCATCGACACGTGGAGTGGCTGTCGCTGGTCCCTTGCTCAACTGGGCTGCAGAGCAGCGATGCTTAGATGTCTTGTGTCTGGGCACTGTACAAGGAGGGTGCCAGTGGTATCCAAAGGAGTTCAGGATGTTGGGCACTCCACTCTGGCGCATCCACTCAGGTCCTTATCCAGCCACGTCCCCTTCCTTAAAATAATTTACCTGTAAACAAAATGGATTATATAATAAGCCGGTGCAAAGTTTTTTTTTTTTTTTTTTTTTGTTTAAAATATAGTTAACTTAAAAAAAATGTTTGTAAATAGATTGTTGCTTTTTACTAAACCTAAAGTGGGCGTGTGTGTGTGCTGAGACAGTTAAGAGATAAGCCATGCTGGACTTGTAAAAACAAAAGGGGAGTGAAGGGGTGGTTACATTTATGGGGCACAGAGAAAAACGCTGATAAACTTGTCTGCAGTTTAGACAATTCACAGGCAAACCATGACAAACTAAGAAAGCCATCTATCAAAGACAGAAAAATAAAAGCTCAAAAACACGTAAGAATACTAGTGACACCTGTGGTGTGTTTTTTATATTGTATGTATTACTGAGACTTTACCCAATAGTAGAAGTATATTAACCTTGTTCATCCTATCTTTTATTTCAGATTCAGAATTACAAGATGGTCTGCAACACAATTCTGGATTTTGGAAACCAGCTATTCCGTCGTAAGGCTGTAGGATCTGACAAGGAGAGCAAATTGTCACGATGCCTCAACACCTTTGACTTGGTTGCCTTGGGTGTGGGTAGCACACTTGGCGCAGGGGTATATGTACTGGCTGGAGCTGTGGCGAGGGAAAATGCTGGACCTGCAATTGTTCTCTGCTTCCTTATTGCGGCTCTAGCTTCCGTTCTTGCCGGCCTGTGTTATGGAGAATTTGGTGCAAGAGTACCAAAGACCGGTTCTGCCTATTTGTACAGCTATGTCACAGTGGGGGAGCTTCTGGCCTTCATAACAGGCTGGAATTTAATCCTCTCTTATGTTATCGGTAAGTTCATTTTAAAATGCAAATCCATTGTAAAGGCCTATTTTCTCTTCATAGTGAGGCATTTTGGTTAGTCTGGATCTCTGCAGTATAGCTTTGTTGTATTATGAAGAAAAATGTTTAAAGTGTGTTCTTTGTCTTCTTTCTTTTTTTTTTTTTAAGATTTTTACATGCTTAAAGCGTTTAAGCATTTGTAAAGGCTCAGGATGTTTGCTTGTTATTTAAAAAAAAAACTTCTCTGTGCTATTGTATTGCACTGCACAAAGTAGCCCTTACCCTCCTGTGTGCGCCCTCATAGCAAGCTCCCCCCATGCCCCCCCTATGAGAGAGGGGGTGATACTTCCACTAGAAGGTGTGGTGTGTTTTATTTATTTTTTTTACTTTAATGCAGGGAATGCATTAAGGTAAAATATGTTCTGCCCTTAGAAGCACTTTAAAGATCCTATGTAGCCTTCCCTTCTTCATGTAATATTAGGGAGGGAGCATTGAGTTATATTTACCATAATTAACCCTGTCTTTACTGTTGGCAGATTTCATCAGTTGTAAACTACATGTGCACAGTGTCTGTCGTAAACAAAGGATAGTGCATTTATGTTAATATACCAAAAAAAAAAACTGTCCCCTAATTGCACATTAGAAGCTAAAATAAACAAAACTGCCTATAGAATGCTATGTATAAACCTGCTCCAAAGAAACCACTAGAGAGGTATATATCCTCTGCAAAGGTGGACATTGGTGTGCCAAGTCAATCTAAGAGTTGGATTGCAGGGAAATTGAATATGTCTGAAGTTTTTTTTTTTTTTTTTTTTTTTTTTTTTTTTTTTATATATACATTTTGATTACAACTTGTTTTACAAAAAATATTGTACTTTTTTTGTTTTTAGGTACATCAAGTGTGGCTCGAGCATGGAGTGCAACATTTGATGAACTTATTGGGAAAAGAATCGAACTTTTCTGTATGCAACACTTCTCCATGAATGTGCCGGGTGTTTTAGCCAAATACCCTGATATCTTCTCAGTCGTCATTATTTTGGTGCTGACAGGTAAGGTGTTCTTCAGCAAAATATGAATACTGTTTTCCTAACTGCTGCTTGTCATTTATGTAATGTGCAGCTTACTGAATATAATGAGAGATTACACAAGGTTCCATAATTTGTATAACCATACAACTTGCAACTCTAGGTACAACGTTCATTATCATACACAAGTTTGAAAAAACGGAAACTCTCTTGTATGCTGTGATTTAAAAATATAGCTACATTTTCCCTAATAAGTCATTTTACAACGCTGTACACCATGCATTGGTAATCCTTTTTAGTAACATATACAAAAAAAAGTACTGCAAAAACTGCTTCAGCAGTGAAAGGATTAAGGAATTCAGACATGGGGGCTGTTTGGGGTGGTGTACTCAGCTGGCACCACATTTTTCTTTGATGGACTGTACAGTGTGTGTGTTTTTTTTTTTTTTTTTTTTTTTTTTTTTTTTGACCATATGCATCCTGCATGTGGTCCCTGTGGCATAGCTGAGATAATGATAAATATCCTTGCTGACTGGTGCCTGATCCTCATTGTAGACCTGAGCTGTCAGTGACAACAAGGATCAAGAGCCACGAGCCACACACACTTTTTTTTACAATGTTTGTTCAAAAACAACTGATTTGCAGTAAAATTAAAATGCAAGTGAAGGCATTGGCATTGAAGACTGCATAGCTAAGTTACTCAACAATTTATTGCTTTCCTCCCTCAGGTCTCTTGTCATTTGGTGTGAAAGAATCGGCATTTGTGAACAAGATTTTCACATGCATCAATGTACTAGTCCTGGGCTTCGTCATAGTTTCCGGCTTTGTGAAAGGATCCATTAAAAACTGGCAATTATCAGAAAAGGATATCAATAATAACAGCAACTCAGGTTTAGTCAAGTATGTCTGCCAACCTTCTCAGCTGTTTCTATACAGGTTTCAAGAAATGTCAGGCGTGTAATAATTTCACAAAGTGGGGATCCATCCAGCTAGTGTCATGTGACTGCAGAGGATTATTAAAAACTTCACACCATACAAAGGTGGACATTGGTGTGCCAAGTCAATCTAAGAGTTGGATTGCAGGGAAATTGAATATGTCTGAGTTTTTTTTTTTTGCTTTTTTTTATTTACCATAAGCATTTTTCTTGAGTACACATAGCCATCTGTAGTGCACAGATGTACCTGTCTGCTAAAATTCCTCTAGATATAGCAGTATACATTAGCAGCTTGTGTTGCATGCATTTTGTATATTGGTGTTTTTGCAAAGTATTGATGGTCGTTTAAAATGTACAGTTGCAAGAAAAAGTATGTGAACCCCTTTGGATTACGTGGCGTTTTGCATGAATTGGGCATAAAATGTGCTCTGAACGTCATCTAAGTCACAACAATAGAAGAACACAGTTTGCTGAACATAATACTACACAAACATTAGATGTTGCCATGGTTTAATTGCACATAACATGTAAACATTCACAGTGCAGGGAGGAAAAAGTATGTGAACCTTTGGCCTTAATAACTGGTTGACCCTCCTTTGGCAGCAATAACCTCAACCAAACGTTTCCTGGTAGTTGCAGATCAGACCTGGCGGAGGGAGCATCATGGTTTGGGGCTGCTTTGCTGCCTCAGGGCCTGGACGGATTGTTGTCATTGATGGGAAAATGAATTCCAGAGTTTATCAAGACATTTTGCAGGAAAACGTACGACCATCTGTCCGCCAACTGAAGCTCCGCAGAGGATGGGTGATGGAACAGGACAATGACCCAAAGCATACAAGTAATTCAACAAAACAATGGCTGCAACAGCACAGAATACGCCTTCTGGAGTGGCCCAGTCAGAGTCCTGACCTCAACCCGATTGAAATGCTGTGGCATGACCTTAAGAGAGCGATTCACACCAGACATCCAAAGAATATTGCTACACTGAAACAGGTTTGTGAAGAGGAGTGGTCCAAAATTACTCCAGATCGTTGTGCAGGTCTGATCTGCAACTACAGGAAACGTTTGGTTGAGGTTATTGCTGCCAAAGGAGGGTCAACCAGTTATTAAGGCCAAAGGTTCACATACTTTTTCCTCCCTGCACTGTGAATGTTTACATGTTATGTGCAATTAAACCATGGCAACATCTAATGTTTGTGTAGTATTCTGTTCAGCAGACTGTGTTCCTCTATTGTTGTGACTTAGATGACGTTCAGAGGACATTTTATGCCCATTTCATGCAAAACTCCACGTAATCCCAAGGGGTTCACATACTTTTTCTTGCAACTGTATTCCCTAATTAATGGTGTGTTCCTGTGCAGTCAATTACATGATGTACATTTCTTTTCTTTAGTGAAACGGGATCGAGTACCTGGGAATATGGTACTGGTGGATTTATGCCATATGGTTTTGCTGGAGTCCTGTCTGGAGCTGCGACTTGCTTTTACGCATTTGTTGGCTTTGACTGTATAGCTACTACAGGTGAGAGTACATGAAAGCTGTGTACTTCTACTTTATTCCAGTAGATAATTGTCACAGAAATCTTGTATAGAACTTTTTGATTTCTTATTTTTCTTACAATGAAGTTAATCAGCAGGTTTTATATAAACCATAAACTTGTACATTTTGAATAATACAAATATACATTTCCTTTTGTCTGTACTGCTGTTCCCAAGACAGCTGTATGCCAAGCCGAAACTAATAGAATTGTAGGTCTACTGCCATACTAATGGCATACTATTTCCATTTCGCTTTATATGTGGAGTCCTTGCCTTACAGTATATTGAGGTTCCTGGAAGATATTGGCTTTGGCATTAACACTTGGCCATTGAAAAGCCTGTGGTCAGCCATATGTGAAGTTGAAGTTAGGGATTGTGTTTTGGGTAATACATTGGTTGATGGACATCCTTAAATATCAATCCAAAATTTAATTTGACTTTTTTATTGTGCTTCATGCTAGGTGAAGAAGTAAAAAACCCTCAGAAAGCCATTCCTATCGGCATTGTGGCTTCTCTCCTCATTTGCTTTGTGGCATACTTTGGCGTATCGGCTGCCCTCACTCTCATGATGCCCTACTTCTTATTGGACAAATACAGTCCTCTGCCAGTGGCCTTCGATCACGTGGGATGGAGTGGAGCAAGATATGCTGTGGCTGTTGGATCTCTCTGTGCACTTTCTACAAGGTAATTTTTGCTTTTTATGCATTTTCACAGTAAATGTTTCCAAGTTATATTTTGCTCCTTAGTTTCCTAATTGGATATTATTATAAAAGTGTTCTACCCTAAACTGGCTATATAGAGGTATTTACTCTTCTACCATTTATTGCACTTTGCACATTTTTTAAAGGTATAGTGAACCTTTTGCAAAAATGTAACCCATGCACCCACATTGATAAAACAAAAAATGGCATTTATTAATGTGTTTATATTATATCCTCGACCAGTGCCATGCACAGGCACCTGCAGACTCTTCCCCCAGACTCTGGTTCATATGGAGGTATAGACCTAGTTATGTGGCTGGAAAAAGTAAAGAATGGACTTTTTTTTTTTTTTTTGTGTGTGTGTGTTTTGTGGTGTTGGATTGTTTGTTCTGCCCTGCGAGACTGGTAGTTATCTTTTTATATTTTTGTCTGAAAAATTGGGAAACATTTTTTTTATAAATTAAAAATCTAAATGGAAAAAAAAACAATGGAATATGAGTGCAATGTTGCCACCGTGGTTCTCCATTGCAATTTACGAGTCCCTTTACCATGGTGAAAGGTAAGACTTTGGAAGTATTTTACATTCAAATTCCCTATGAACTGAAGACATGGCTGTGCAGGCAGAGCCACATATAGCTGAGCTAAATTCAAAGCAAAATAGGTGTGTGTAGGGAGGAGAGACCCACAACTCACATAAGTGGAGGGCTGGGGAAAGTGACCATGTTTCATGTTACTTCCTAAATATGGGTGTAACATGATCAGAAAGGAGGACTATTCTTTTGAAATTACACTAAACTCTGGTTTAAAAAAAAACTAGTATGATGTACAGCATCTCACAGAAGTGAGTACACGCCTCACATTTATGTAAATATTTGATTCTATTTTTTCATGTGACAACACTGAAGAAATTACACTTTGTGTATAACAGTGTAAATTTGCTGTCTCCTCAAAATAGCTCAACACACAGCCATTAATGTCTAAACCGCTGACAACAAAAGTGAGTACACCTCTAAGTGAAAATGTCCAATTAGGCCCAAATGTCAATATTTTTGTGTGGCCACCATTATTTTCCAGCACTGCCTTAACCCTCTTGGGCATGGAGTTCATCAGAGCTTCACAGGTTGCCACTGGAGTCCTCTTCCACTCCTCCATGACATCATGGAGCTGGTGGATGTTAGAGACCTTGCGCTCCTCCTTCCGTTTTGAGGATGCCTTACAGATGCTTAATAAGGTTTAGGTATGGAGACATGCTCCATCACCTTTACCCTCAGCTTCTTTAGCAAGGCAGTGGTCATCTTGGAGGTGTGTTTGGGGTCTTTATCATTTTGGAATACTGCCCTGCAGCCCAGTCTCCAAAGGGAGGGGATCCTGCTCTACTTCAATATGTCACAGTACATGTTGGAATTCATGGTTCCCTCAATGAACTGTAGCTCCCCAGTGCCAGCAGCACTCATGCAGCCCCAGACTATGACACTCCCATCACCATGCTTGACTGTAGGACACATTTGTCTTTGTACTCCTCACCTGGTTGCCGCCACACACACTTGACACCATTTCAACCAAATAAGTTTATCTTGGTCTCATCAGACCACAGGACATGGTTCCAGTAATGTCCTTAGTCTGCTTCTCTTCAGCAAACTGTTTGCGGGATTTCTTGTGCATCATCTTTACAAGAGGCTTCCTTCTGGGACGACAGCCATGCAGACCAATTTGATGCAGTGTTCGGCGTATGGTCTGGGCACTGACAGGCTGACCCCCCACCCCTTCAACCTCTGCAGCAATGCTGGCAGCACTCATACGTCTATTTCCCAAAGAGAACCTCTGGATATGATGCTGAGCATGTGCACTCAACTTCCTTGGTCGACCATGACGAGGCCTGTTCTGAGTGGAACCTGTCCAGTTAAACTGCTGTATGGTCTTGGCCACCGTGCTTCAGCTCAGTTTCAGGGTCTTGGAAATCTTCTTATAGCCTAGGCCAACTTTATGTAGAGCAACAATTCTTTTTTTCAGATCCTCAGAGAGTTCTTTGGCATGAGGTGACATGTTGAACTTCCAGTGACCAGTATGAGAGCGTGAGAGCGATAACACCAAATTTAACACACCTGCTCTCCATTCACACCTGAGACTTTGTAACACTAAAGAGTCACATGACACTGGGGAGGTAAAATGGCTAATTGGGCCCAATTTGGACATTTTCATTTAGTGGTGTACTCACTTTTTCCTGCCAGCGTTTTAGACAATAATGGCTGTGTGTTGAGTTATTTTGAGGAGACAGCAAATTTACACTGTTATACAAGCTGTACACTCACTACTTTACATTGTAGCAAAGTGTCATTTCTTCAGTGTTGTCACTTGAAAAGATATAATATATTTACAAAAATATGAGGGGTGTACTCACTTCTGTGAGATACTGTATGTATTAACTCAAAAAAGTACCTTCTATTGCTCTCAGGCTGCTTCAATCTCCGCATTTCCCGTTTTTGGTGTTGTTATTTTGTTTTTGTTGCTGTGATCTGATTAACAGTCTTCCTGTAAAGAGTGGAACCATGGAGAACAAATATTACCACCTTCTATGAAGGAACATGGCCATCCGCTCTTGCTCACTCCTGAGATGAACTATGGGATTTGTAGTGTGTATAGAGCAGTGCACCTGACCGCACCTAATGTGCAATGTTTGTACTGATTTCTTGAGTCCCTAAAATGCCAGAACCGTACAAGTACCCCCCCTCCCCCCCTCTTCATCCCACCAATGAAGAGCTTAGAGAGCTAGGGGAGAATAAACTGCAGAAAACTGGTCTATCTGTTGAATGGCTGTGCGGGAGGGGAACTGACCATGCTGTGCTCTCATGCCCAGTGTTGTCAGTTTTTATTAGGAAAGCAAAGGGACTGGAAGGAACACCAGCAATGCAAAGAGAACAGACTTTTCCATACAAGTACATGGTACAGCAGGCACCTACCAGGAATGTATGTTGGGTTAGCATATTCTTTAAGTAGTTTTATTATATTTTGTAGAATAAGGATATCTTTTAGTGTCATAATGCTGTTTTTTTCATAAGCCTGCACATTTTGAGAAACATAAGTATACATTTGTGTTTCTGCTCCATCATGGAGCACATTCATGAAGTACTAAAGCTAACAAATCTTGTCTGCAACACACAGTGCAGGAGAGGAGTTCCCGGCCTGGGTATTCTCAGCCAAAGAATATATTTAGCATGGTACATTCGATAAAAGAAGCATCAGGTTTGGATCTCTCAATTCCCTTCTCTAACAGATCCACACATACACAGCACTTTGAGTTAAATTTTACTTTTATCAGCACTAAACACAGTTTATTGTTAATACCTAACTGTATATTTTACAAACTTCCTGGTTAATTGATTGCAAGACAACAGTTTGCACACATTTCAAATTCAATCACTCATCTACTTAAATTGTAAGTGTGTTGAATGTTTTTTTTTTTGTTATTATTCTCTTTCTCAGTTTACTTGGTTCTATGTTTCCCATGCCTCGAGTGATTTATGCCATGGCAGATGACGGGCTGCTATTTAAAGTTTTAGCCAGAGTCAGTGAAAAGAACAAAACGCCCATTATAGCCACAGTTTCCTCTGGAGCTGTTGCAGGTGAGCTGAAATATGATGCAGTTATGCTTTTATAGTGGTTAACTTCACAGGGTTTGCATTGTGATCCCTAATAAATTGTCTTTTCATACAGGAAGAAGTCTGCCACATAAAATCTTCTAAAAAGCACCCAACACTCTTCTGCATTTTTATATACTATATGGATCCTTTAGCAATTTTTTGTTGCAGTAGCATGCAGCAATGCACAGTAATTGGATTGTTGCAATATAGTCTCATTCCTTCTGATGCATGGTGTAGTGCAGGGCAAGAAGTGACAACGCCCCAGCCTGCAGTGCGCTGCCAAATGCACTGCAACATGCGTCTGCTAGAAGGGTTGGTTGAGATGTCATTCAGAATGTGTCGCACTGCGTTGCAGCAATGCAAATAACATGCATTGTGCTAACCCCTTCGTTGCTGCAAAGACAATATGACAAATGAGTCCTTACTGTGGCTAAACACAGGTTCTTGGTCAAGAGCTTAGTGTTCACAGAGCAAACTATACTACCTTGTTTGCTTTCGTTTGCAACGGCTGTCCCTGTACAGTGAAACATTCCCTACCCATTAAGTGACACTTGTTCATATGAACCCCTGTAGGTCACATGAAAAGAAGGAAAATGTGTTAAAGTATTTTTGTAATCTTCTACCTTCATGTTTGCAGTATCTTGGTCCATACACAGAACAGAAAATTGAAAGCCGCAAGTGTGAAATCTAATAACCGTAAATTGATCTTACTATGCTTTTAGAAAATCCCTGAGGCTTGCGTTGTTTCGTTTTTTGCGTTTTTTTTTTTTTTTTCCCCAACTTTTGTTTTAAACATTCTCCTGCCAAGTGTCTGCTGGCTGTAAATTCGCATAGGCTTTTTACGGCTGAGGCTTCATGGAATGCGACCATGTCATCCCTGAGATATTTTTGGTATGGCCTAATGTATTACACTTCCTGTTAGGGGAACACTGACATAGTACAGTACAGAGCTGTGTTCCTTTATTTGGAACTCACGGATGTCCTCATCTGTGCTTTTATGACATAAAGATAAATACAGTTGTCTTGTTTTTATTTATTTATTTATTTTTTAAAATTTATTGAGAATCAGCATTTGTGCATCACTTCAGAAACCTAATCTCATCCTGCAGACTTATTTTCAGTAAATGATTATAAAAATAATTGTAATATTTTCTATTTATAATTGCAACGTGCCTTCCAATCTCACACAGTACTCTACATACTATCCCAAAATTTATTTCAGGCTAAAATAGGCGCTTGTACTATTTGCCAAACTAGGAAAGGGGTTTCTATCACTGAAGCTATAGTTGAAACTTTAAGCGAAGAACAAAAAATTGCAGCTTACCGGTTCTTAGATGTAATGACTGCATTAATTTTTTTTAATATGCACCTGGTGAGTCTGTAAGTAACACATTTCCTGTTCTAGGGTGTAGGGTGAGGGCACTCACTTGTTATACCAAATCTATGGAGGAGCAGTGCTTGTCATCCTAGAACAGGAAGTGTAGGTTCTACTGAACACCACCCCTCTCCCATAAGAAATAATAACTATTTGCTCCCTTTTGGACTGATAAACTGAGAGTTTTGCTATGTCTGTTCGATAAAAGTCTATACTTTATTGACCCTGCCAGAACACAGCGAGCATTCAAGTTTCTCTTCAATCTGCAGTTTTTTCAGCCTTGCCCTATTTAACTCTAGACTGCAGAACATCTCCTCCTCTGTTAGGGTTTGCATACACTTAGTAGGCCACAGAAGAGGAGGAGACTAGAGTGCCGGCGGGGGACCCCAGAAGAGGAGGTTCAGGGTCATTCTTTGCATTACCATAGAGCAGGCATGTATAATTTTTCTTTAAAAAAGCTCAAGGTTTTTTTTACCTTTTTAAAGAGGAGTTCCAGGCTCTCCCCAAAATATTGAGTCAGCAGCTACAAATACTGTAGCTGCTGACTTTTTTTTAAATAGAACACTTACCTGTCCAGGTGTCCAATGCCGTCGTCACCCAGGCTAGTTCTTCACCAACCTCCAGGTGCCCAGCGCCAGCATCTTCTGTAAGGGAAACCAGAAGTGAAGCCTTGTGGCTTCACAGCTGGTTTCCAATTGCACATGTGCGAGTCGTGCTGTACCTTGTGATTGGTCCCATAGTCTTCTGGGACCTGTGAAGTGTATAGGGGAAGGAAGTGGGTATCTGTCAAAATCCCCAAAAAGTGACAGTGGAGGGGTGGTGTTTTTTGTTTTTTTGTGGTGCAAACCATCCCTTTTGGGTGGAGCTCCACTTTAATGCATTCTGGGCGCAGCTCCCCCAGATGCTAGGGTCACATCTGTGCGGGTGCCGCCGCTGCGGATCCGCACGAAAATCCATGCAGCTGCACCACCCGCACAGAGAAATGCGGACCCGCGGGCGGGTGCCGTTTGTTCTAATGGCATGCTGCCTGCACTGGAAGCCTCACCCGTACTGGGAACCGAGGTTTCCATGCGGGCTACGTTTTCAGAGGAAGTGCAGGGAATTTTTCCCCTGCGTGGCATGGGAGTCCATTCAAATGAATGGGCTCTTGTGCCCGTGCAAAACGTATATGTGTGAACCGGGGCTAATACCTGAGCCCCTACATGATCCAGCAACGTGCACAACAGCAGTGAGGACTCTCTCTCCTCTTTGGAAGTCCCAGAAGAACCCTCTACACACACATTACCCTTTTCAGAAAACTAAAAAATAGGGATTTGAGCACAGGTATATCTTGTTTCTCTCATTGGCTCACACAGCAGTCACCTTCTGTCAATGACAGCCAAGTAAGCCAATGAGGAGAGAGTGTGAGGGGGGGGGCGAGCTGCACTATTTGGGAATGGACACACAGCTCAGCTTGGGAGCAAGGCTGCTTGAGTGCCACCATAGCAAGAGGCTTGTTGTTTGAGGCGCTCAGCAGGGGGAGGTGCCAGGAGTGCCAGCGGGGTACCCAAAAAGAAGAGGGGGATTGCTCTGTGTAAAACCATTGCACAGAGCAGGTAAGTATAAAATGTATGTTGCATTTATTTTTTTTATTCTTTCCTTTTTAGAATCCCTTTAAGCTTTACAATCGCTGTAAATTAAATGACTTCTCATTTGCATTGCCTCTTTTTTCTTTTCCAGCATTGATGGCATTTCTGTTTGACTTGAAAGATTTGGTGGATCTTATGTCTATTGGCACACTACTAGCCTACTCTTTGGTAGCTGCCTGTGTGCTAGTTTTAAGGTAAAAACATAAAGTTTTTGTATATTGTATGAAAAGTATTTTCCTATAGTACGTTTTTATGCATTTTGATTACATGCTTGGTGCTACTGCTAACTGGTTTATATTGATTTTTTTTTCCCTTATTTTATAGGTATCAACCAGAGCAGCCAAATATGGCTTATCAAATGGCCAGCACAAATGAAGAGCCTGACATTAATGAATCTGTCAGTACCAGTGATTCTCAGGCTGGGTTTCTGGATGAGAAATTTGCTTTCAAATTGTTGTTCTGCCCAACAAACTCTGAGCCAACCAGGTTATCAGGAGCCATAGTAAATTTTTCTGCTGGTTTTATAGGTGAGTAATTAGCTTGTTACATGTAGTTCTTTTATGTCCTAAACACAACACAGTGGGATCTGAAAACTATATTTAAAAAGTATATTTCCCAGAATCTCCCACCAGCGAGACCTAAACCGTATTTATGGTCAACAACTTACCCAATGTAATACTGCAAATATCTGGAAAATTCCCTACTTTCTGTGACAATCGACTTTATAAATGTTTAAAGGCTAAGTTCACATTCTGAACATGTTGCAGCTGTATTTAGGGTTTAACATGTTCAGCAATCCTCCTTACCCCCTGCTTCCCTCTGACAGGGGCCAGGGGGTTCTTCTACCCAGAGCCCATGTCCCATTTTAAAAGCGACATAGCTTTATGGGCAATGTAGTTCACTCACTTGAAAAACAAGTCCCATGTTCCACTGTGGCTTGTAGTTCTGAATAAACTATGAAGACCCTAATCAGTGCCCTCTTAGTTCACTCACACGTTCTGCATTTACTGTCTGTGCAGAGGTATGGGCAGAGAGCTGTTTGCAGGAGCCTGACATTGCACCCACAATCTACCAATCACAGGTTAAATGCTTTGCAGGGTATAAATAAATAAATGCACTTTTTTTTGTACTGCAAAATCATATTTTTGTTTTTTTTTCCAAAGGTGAACTTATCCTTTAAAACTATGATGGTTGAGAATTATTTTTGTTAACATTAGGGACTCTGTAATGGAAAGTCATTTGAAAACCTACAGCCCCCACCCACTTTTACTCTTCTAGAATTATGAGTGCCTCAAGAAAAACAAAAATAATCAAATATAAATAGGGCAATCTGTTTTTAAAATTTTTGCTGTTTAAAGCTACTCTTTCGCTGTTCCAAAGTTCTTCAGCCAAGCTGTACCTGTAAAGGAACAGTGTATATACTTGCCTTTCTCACCAGCAACACTAACAAACACTGGTCTGTCCAAGAGGAATGAAGTCTGCTGGGAAATTGACCCTTCTGGGAGTGTCAATCTCTGGATTCCTCATGCTATTCTGTAGGATACAGCTGTGAAATGGAGGTCTGCAAGAAGAACCAGTGAGTGATGGGTTTGACCGTCCCAGATGTCTTTGTTTCCCAGTGGGTTTCAGGGAACTCTTCCTCATGTCTGCAGCAGTGTTTTGCAGTTCTGGCAGTAGGAGATGCAAGTATTTAAAACCTCCTTTTACAGGTACAACTCGCCCAAGGAACTTTATTATAGCGATAAGATTTTTTTTTTTTTCCCCTCATCCATTGATGGACACAGGAACTTTTCTACACAATGGAGCTGAAGAAACAACTTTCATCCCAAGGCAGAAGACTTCCTGTGTCCTTCAATAAATCCCAATAAAAGGAGTTTTGTGGGGAGTACAAAAAATACAATTATGTACCTACAAATTCCAGCAACCGCTTTCAGAATCATACACTGCATGTATGATTCTTAAAGCGGAACTTTACCCATAACAACATGCTAAAAAAAATTATTTTCTTTAGCAGTGAACATATGTTCCACATTAATATTTGTGTTAACAAAATGAGTGTGCTGTAAATTGCCTCCAGCATTGCTCCTGTTTCTTCTTGCTGGATGCTGCCATTTTGCTGAAGCCCAGAGTCCCTGAAGAGCAGTAAATCATAAAACGGAATTAAACCCATCTATTTAACTGTTTAAAAAACCGTTAACAATCCCGGCATTGCAGGAATGTAACTGTCACATTTGCTTGTGTCCTCAACCAAACTATCAAACCATCAAATGGTTGGCGGTGTCATAACTGATTACAAATGCAGCACTATGGCAGTTGCAGATCAAGCAGAAGCCACTTCCTTGGCTGTAAAGGATAGGAGGGTTTAATTCCGCCTCATGGTTGTCAGATCGGCCTCTACAAATTCGGCACAGTACCTAAAATTGCCTAAAAATTGAGAACTGAGCATGTTCAGAGCAGGGTGAGACATTGTATTGCTGGATTTTAAACGTATAGGCACTTATTTTTAATGTATTACATAGCTATACCTACAAAAGGGACCAGCCTCAAATGATCTAGCAGGACTTAATTTCTGACTAAAGGTCCACCTTAAATGCAGGACATTCATGAACAATTAATGGCTGTAGCTTGTAATTGGTCAACAGTGTCAGAACTCTACTTCTACGGATTTAAAATATGTCCTAAAAAATCAGCAAGCCGCAGATTATGGGCAGCAAATTAGATTTTTTTTGTCATGAAATGTGTATAGAAAGAAAGAAAGAAAGAAGCTATGTGTTTTTTTTTTTTTTTTTTTTTTCTTTTACTTATTAGTTATTGTGTACATTGGAGATTGGCTAATACTTGTTTTTAGATGTTGGGCAGTTACATAAATGGGCTGCAACTAACTATTATTTTCACAATTGATTAGTTGGCCGATTTTATTGTTTCGATTATTCTATTGGATAAAAACCTCAAAGTGTGGTGTATAATTTAGTTAATATATAGAGTTTAAAAAAAAGACATTTTATTCTTGAATATTTACATGCAGTGGTAAATCTAAATACCCAGCTATATGGTTGGAGAACAAACTATCTAATCCACTCCTGAGAATATTTGACAGAAGAGATGTGTATAATATTCGAGGTTGAATGTTGTGCATATTGGACTCAGAGATCCAAATTTTTATGGAAACAAAATATTTTTAAAAAGACCGAAGACTGTTGTTTTTCAGATTTTCAGAGAGAATTGTAAAGTTTTATGCATGAGTCCCTTGTCATAGGCAGGTAGCTTGATGCAAGCTATGTGCGCCTGCGGTCACTTATGATGGCCATACACTAACAAATTTTTTTTGTTTTTGAAAAGTTTTGTTTTAGGAACGTTAATTTTGTTTTTCTAATCGTTAGTGGAGTCAAATTGACATTTTATTTTTGAACACAGTGACAGAAACATTCGAAGGAGCAGAATAGAAAACTTTTCTTAAACTTTTCGAACCAATTTTCAACCAGCATATGTGGTTTTCGCTCAGAAATTGTATTCCTTTTAAAACTGAATGTTAAAGGTGAGGGAAATTTTTGAACAACATTCGTCCATTCATTGAATGTACAATGAATTTTCAGACTATATTCTCGTCTGAAAATCAATACGTGTATGGCCAGCAGAGGACAGCATGCTTTTTTGTGACCTGTCATGATGGGGTTAAAAAATAGTCCTTTTTATATTACAAAAACAGCAGATAATCACTACTATAAAAGGTTAACTTTAGACTGTGAAAGTAATAATATAACTTGTGTATAATAAATATACCCTCAGGTAGGTAGGTTTAACTGGGAGTCAGACATGAAACTATATGAAGGGGTGGGAAGGGGAAAATAAATCTCTTACATAAAGTAGCACTAAACACTGAGCCTTTTTTGCGTGGATAGAATCATTAAGTGTTCTTGCATGGCAAGACCACTTACTGTTATCTCACATATATATTCTTATTATTATAGCCAAATTTACCACCCTAACTCCTCCCACAGTTTTTACACTACATAGACAGTAATATACCAAAACGTGCGGATTGTTCCCGATTGGTGTGCTATTACTTTGTGCAACGTTTTGCCGAATGGTTCACGAAATATCGCCGTTTTTGTGGTGAAATTGGTCCCATAGGAATGAATGACCGAATGTTCAAAACTAGAGTGGGAGCTGACAAAAGCTAGAGTGTGAGCTGAAAAATCAGGACATGATTTCTAAACTGCCATCACTCCCTCATTTTCAAGCCCACCTACACAAATTGTATATCAAAACGTTCAGCTATCCCTGCTGCCACTAAAAATGTCCACGGCTAAGCCATAATCCTGATAGTTTTCACAATATGACCATTTGTTTGCAACTACGCCGCCGATTGACATTCATTGAAACTCCACTCTAGACACCTGAAATTTGAAGGGCAATTTCTAAACTGCGACTGTGCCTTCATTTTTAATATTTCAGAGACATATGCATCAAAATGTAGGTCTGGGTCTTGTGATTATCACAATATAAAGCTCTTCACTGTAGGATTTATAGTTTTAAAACTACAACAGTTTGAAAATGGCAACTGCCAGTGAAGTGAGCAAGTTGGAGCAGTTTGTTTTTAACCGCTCTTCTCTGCCCTTGCTGTAGAGTGAGTTGCCATAGGAACCCAGGTGTGTGAGCAGGCAGCAGAGTGACAAAAGCTATGCCGCCCACTCCAGTTGTAGACTACTGGTGGAAGCAAGAACACTTTACACAATTTCCCCAGAAATTGTAGATTTTCTAGTTTTAAATGCAATACACAATACTGGCAAACTTTTACTTAAATTTGTAATGACTTTATATTGCCTCCAGTTTCTCTGGGTCCAGATACTTATCTTCCTTGCACAGAGTCCTTAACCACTTCCATACCGGGCACTTTTACCCCCTTCCTGCACAGGCCAATTTTCAGGTTTCAGCGCTCTCACACTTTGACTATTGCGCGGTCATACAACACTGTACCCAAACTAAAATTTTATCATTTTGTTCACATAATTAGAGCTTTCTTTTGGTGGTATTTAATCAACACTGGGGTTTTTATTTTTTGCTAAATTAACAAAAAAATTTGAAAAAAAAAACATGTTTCTTTGTTATAAAAGTTTGCAAATAATTGTTCATAAATTTAGGCCAAGATGTATTCTGATACATTTCTTTGGTGAAAATAACCCAAATCAGTATTTATTATTTAGTCTGTAGGAAAGTTATAGAGTTCACAAACTGGTATATAGCTGAAAATTGACCAATCCTGAAATACTGACAGCCAATCTAATTTCTTGAGGCCCAAAAATGTCAGAACAGTACAGATATCCCCAAATGACCCCTTTTTGCAAAGTAGACAGTCCGACGTATTTCGTAAGAGGCATGGCGAGTTTCTTGAAGTTGTAATTTTTTTGTAATAATTTTTTGGAAAATGTAAGAAATTAAAAAAAATTATTTTCACAATTTTTTTCTTTTTTTTTTTTTACATACAGTCACCAGTGCAGTACAGTGTTAGCATATAACTGGTGTGGCGGTGATCAGGGACACTGACTGGTGACAGTCCGAAAAAAAAAAAAAAAAAGTTTTTTTTTTATTACATTTTTTTTTTTTTTTTTTTTTTTTCATATTACACTATGACCAAAGTAGTATAATGTTACCATAGTAACATTGTACTACTTTGGGGAAGTGATCAGTTTTTTATTTGATTTGCTTACAGCAAATAATTTCTTTGCTGTAAGCAAGCATTTAACTGAATGAAATCGATTCATTCAGCTTTTTTTTTTGTTGTGATAAGCTGTGATTGGCCACAGCTAATCACATGACACAGATGGGCTGTGACTGGCCCAGCCTGTACATGTGATCGCTGTGACCATTCACAGCTAGACACACTTGTATACAATGGATGGCATGAAAGGAAGCCATCCATCCATTGTATACAACTGTCATGTGACCTGCTGTGATTGGTCACAGCAGGTCACATGGTACTAGCAACGGGGCCAGTACACAGATCTGTCATCAGCCGTGTCCGAGGTACACAGCCAGTGACAGATCTCGCCACAGCGCTGCCCTGCGGGCACGCGCAAAGCGCACTCCGTGAAGGACGGATGTCATATGACACCATCCCGGAGGGACAAGGGGCTTGCCTGGCTGTCATTTGACTATAGATGGGGCGGCAAGTCATTAAAGTGACTTGTAAACGTTGGAATTTTTTTTTTCTTTCTTGTCATGCTTACCTGCTTTGTAATGGTTTTGCACATAGCAACCCCAATTCTCCACTTCTGGGGTCTTATTCTCCTCTTCTCCTTTTTCTTATTGTAATGCATTCTGTATGCAGCCCAACTAATCGGCTGACCAACTAATCAGTTATGGAATTAGTTGACAACTATTTTTATAGTCGATTATGCTGAATTTAGTTTCAGCCCTAATCTAAACCAGTGCTTACAAGATTCCTAGCCCACACATTATGGGACATTTTGAAATCAAGACTATATGGAGAGCTTTGAATTAAATGGGAACTGCTGTGTCATGCCATTCTTTAGAGTTCCCCCCCCAACACAACCGTGCATTTACAGTGTCCAAAAACAAACCAATGAAGAGTTTGCGGTGATGGGACAATTTGTATCCGTCCTCAGTCTGCATTTCTCAATAATTACCAACCAAATTCTTTCATTCTCCTATACTGCAGATAAAGAATTTTGCTGCTGTGTGGCAGTACAGAGTGAGACAGTTTGTTTTTCAGTCGCTTTCAGAGATGAGGCATGCAGTGTGTTACAAGCAGTAATGTTCCCCATATATACAACTTCTAATATGTTACACTTCTCTTTTCAGGGCTGCTGATTATCATATTTTGTTGCATCTGTGTTTTTGGACTGGAGTCTCTGGTAAATGGAAGTGTTTCGCTGATCTCCTTTCTTGCGCTCAGTGTCCTTTTATGTTGCTTCTTGACCATAATCATTTGGAGGCAGCCTGAAAGCAAAACCAAACTATCTTTTAAGGTAACTTATATGACTCCTAGTGGAAATCACATCCCTTGGTCCTTTTCATGCCATATCTCCATTTAGTAAGGAGACAATCGAGCCCAGACTACAGGGTGTCCTTAAAGCCTGGACACATGAAAGTATGTGTGTTGCCCAATTTATTGGGACTCCTGCCTTTACATGCACATGAACTTTAATGGCATCCCAGTCTTAGTCCGTAGGGTTCAATATTGAGTTGGCCCACCCTTTGCAGCTATAACAGCTTCAACTCTTCTGGGAAGGCCGTCCACAAGGTTTAGGAGTGTGTCTATGGGAATGTTTGATCATTTTTCCAGAAGCACATTTGTGAGGTCAGTCACTGATGTTGGACGAGAAGGCCTGGCCTGCAGTCTCCGTTCTATTTCATCCCAGAGGTGTTCTATCAGGTTGAGGTCAGGACTCTGTGCAGGTCAGTCAAGTTCCTCCATCCCAAACTCACTCATCCATGTCTTTATGGACCTTGCTTTGTGCACTGGTGTGCAGTCATGTTGGAACAGGAAGGAGCCATTACCAAACTGTTCCCTCAAAATTGGGAGCATGAAATTGTCTTGATATGATGACGCCTTAAGAGTTCCCGTCACTGGAACTAAGGGCCCAAGCCCAACCCCTGAAAAGCAACCCCATATCATAATCCCCCCTCCACCAAACTTTACACTTGGCACAATGCAGTCAGGCAAGTACTGTTCTCCTGGCAACCGCCAAACCCAGACACATCCATCAGATTGTCAGACAGAGAAGCATGATTTGTCACTCCAGAGAACACGTCTCCACTGCTCTAGAGTCCAGTGGCGGCGTGCTTTACACCACTTGATCCGATGCTTTGAATTGCACTTGGTGATGTAAGGCTTGGATGCAGTTGCTCGGCCATGGAAACTCATTCTATGAATCCCTCTATGAGCTGTTGTGCTAGTCTGAAGGCCACATGAAGTTTGGAGGTCTTTAGCTATTGACTCTGCAGACAGTTGGCGACTTCTGCACACTGTGCGCTTCAGCATGCGCTGACCCTGCTCTGTCATTTGACGTGGCCTACCACTTCGTAGCTGAGTTGAATACCACTAATAGTTAAAGTGGAGTTCCAGCTTAAAAAAAAAAAAGAAAAGTCAGCAGCTACAAAAACTGTAGCTGCTGACTTTTAAAATACAGCAACTTACCTGTCCCTCAGTCCAGCGGTGTCTTCACCACCGCTGGTTTCACCGGCCGTCTTCTCCCTCTAGCGCTGGCATTTTTAGTGTGGGCACCCGGCTGTGACAGCTTGCGCTTCACAGCTGGGTGCCCACTCTGCATGTGCGAGAAGCGCTGCACTTTGTGAATGGCCCCGTAGTCTTCTGGGACCTGTCACGTGTCCCCAAAGACTACAGGGAGGGAGGACACCTGAAGGAAAGCATCATGAATGAACTTGCTCAAATTGATGGAAATGTGGTGTTACTGTATCAGGTTCATGTGAATCTTGCAAAGCACGTGGAACTTTGCATCACAAATGGTGTAAATCACTTTGAAGATATTATTGATTAACCTCCCTGGCGGTATTCCCGAGTGTAGCTCGGGGTTAATTATCAGTGCCAAAAGTGGAAACCCTGAGCTACACTCAGGATTACCCCGCAGCGTTGCTCTGGGATTCCCTCGATCACTTACCTTGTCCTGAGCTCCCGCGATGTGTCCCCTGCAGCATCCCCAGCCATCTCTCTGGCCGATGCCGGCATCTGGGTTCCGGTCCCTGCGAGCGTCAGGACGTACGGGGGCCGGAATCGGCGGGAAATTTAAACATTTTAAAAAGTGACATTCACTAATACACTAAAATCACATAGCAAAACATTATTGTATCAACCCATTTCACATACATTTTGTCCCTAATGCTTTGTCCGGTGCCCTGCCTGCATTTTTACTGTTCTTTCTGCCTTGAAACTGAGAAAAGTCCATGGCGTCCAAAAAGCGTCCCTTTAGGTCAAAAGTGGTTTTAGACCAGATAGAAAACAGCAATAGTAAATCAGAACCATTTGCAGAATTGAGTGATAATGATTCGTGGGGAAATTCGGCATCAGACACTGAAAACGATTTTGCGACTTTGCTCAGTGATGTGCGAACTTGGCGCTATATTTCAAATTTCAGTGTTTTTGGTTTGGTTATATTCTTGAATTAAATTTATTATATTATTATTTTTTATGATGAGTTATTATATTATAATTTATGATTTCGTGTTTAAAATTTTATCATATCCGGAATGTTTACTAGACTCTTGTTCGGACAGATTTCAGTGAGTTATTCCTAAAAATTACAAGCCTACAATAAAATGACATATTTCCATGCAAAAAAATGTACTGCTTTCAGCACAGAAATATGGACATAATCAGACCGCTAGGGAGGTTAATATTCCAATGAAATAAAATGTTGAAAAATGTATTGGAAATATGCATTTTTGCCTGTGTCCATCCAGACTTTAGGACACCCTGTAGATCTCTTCAGATTTTCCCAGTATTGTAGACAGGACATACTGTATGTTATAGAAAAGCATTGTTAAATTAAAGGTACTCTTCAGTCAAAGTTAAAAATAAAATCTTAAGATACATACAGGGGTATATTTTCTTAACCACCCTCCCCCTCCCCCCAGCATAAAACAAACAAAACATCTCATTGGAACCAGTATCCAAACTCTGGTCAGTTCCTGCACTCTTACCTTTTTTTAGTGTTCGATCAGTACTCAGTCCTTTTCACCCATAGCATCAGTCCGCTCACATATATTAAGGCATGTGGAAAGCAGAGACTAATGGGGGCTGGCTACCAGCTACGTTATGGACTTAGGAATGGAGGCTTTATCCCCCACTCAAAGCGTTACAAAGTTTCTGGGTTCCAGGATCAAGAACAGGAGTTAAGATTCCGAAAAAAAAAAAATAGTTTTCTCCATATCAATTTTACATTGAAGATATACAGCCCACTCTCCAACTGGTAATCGGGTTCATTTTTACCTTGCTTTGTATGGAATGGCTAGACGCTTTCTTGGCCACAAAACCAGCAGGATATTTAGCAGTGTACAAAAACACACTGGCAGTTTGAGATTTGGAATCTAAAAAAAACAAAAAACTGTGAACTGATTGAATGTTGTAAACTCAATGATATTGCGAGAACTTTCAAATGGAAAGGCATGTGGATAACATTGTGATGTGCCTGTTAGATTTGTTTTTTGGTTTCTTGTACTGGTACATGACACAGCTAGAGTTCCAGGAATGATGCCAGATGAGGAAGAAGAGGTCGAGCAAATAATCTTGATAAAATTGATAATTTCAAAGTAAAAATTTTTTTTTTAATCATTTTACATTTGATATGGTGAACTTGAGAGGGTAACTCCACTTTTGGGGGGAGAAATTAGCAAATAAAAAGAAAATATAGCATATATAATTGTGACTCAAGGCATATTGTAATTGGATGTTTTTAAAAATCACCATTCCTTTTCAATCTGTAATTCTCTTTAAAATGCAATATTATGGTTACTTGAAAGTGTTCTGTACACAATCTGTGTACCAAACGCCCCTTGAAAAATGTAATTTCCTACTTGAGTAATTGCTCATTAATTTTCCTAGTCTGATACCAATCAGATTTTGAGCATCCACTCCAACCAAAATGTCATTTTGGTGATGAGATACTTCTAAAGGGATGCTAAACTTGCCATTTTCCTCATTAGAGCCCTACAGGTGCAGAAGCTGATTGATGATTAGAAAGTCAATCTGATTCTCCTTCACTCTGCACATTTACACAAACAAATAGCTGTTTCTTCAGAATAACAAAAGGTAGGAATCTGCAACAAAGTTGCAATGTACATAGATCACCCAGATGGAAATGTGTTCTCAAACAAAAGTTACATTTTCATGTAACCTAATTTGCTCAGTGTAGAGCCAGTGTGAACACCGTGTTTATTCTCTTACCCTTAAATGTGTTGTATTCTTCTCTTTAGGTACCGTTTCTACCTATGCTGCCCATTTTGAGCATCTTGGTAAATGTATACCTTATGATGCAGTTGGACAAAGGCACGTGGATACGATTTGCGATCTGGATGGTAATAGGTAAGAACTAGCACATTACAAATTACATGCCCTTTCCTTCATTTATTCTTCCACTAATAACATAGCATGTCAATAGGTACTAGCGCCTATATTTGCGGTGTTGGAAAACAAGCATTTATTTGGCTGCTATGGACAGCAAACCTTTTGTTACACATTTTCAAAATTGCACTATTCCCATTTTCAATTAACACTACTTTCATGAATGCCCCTCCCAGAAATACCAAAGTACACATTTGTGGGTAAGAAATGGAACACCCTTTTGGGGGGAAAATAATGCAGAACCCTAGGTTTAGAGAACTACTGGGCCTATGGAACATTTTGAATTGGTCTTTCTTCAGAATATTTGATCAGTCTTATAAAAGATTTGTATTTGTCCCCTTATGTAGCTCTACTTTCTTATTTCACAACTTAAGGGTCAGAGGTCCCTAGAAATGTGCCCTAATTTGCCTTGTCCTGCACTCTCTGAGATTAGGAAATGATGGGGTAGGTTTACTAAAACTGGAGTACACACGATCTGGTGCAGCTCTGCATAGTTACGAATCAGCTTCTAATTTCAGCTTGTTCATTTAAGCTTTGAAAATAAAACCACAAAGCTAATTGGTTTTTATACAGAGCTGCACCAGATTGTGTGTGCTCCAAGTTTAGTACATTTTCCTCCCGATGTGTAAGGTCAGGCTGACTGACTACCAACTGTTAGACTTCAGGCTTGTATTCTACAGATCTGTTGCCTTTCATTTTGTGCCATTTTTAACACCGCAAAATGCATGGATAGGAGGAACATTCACAAATGAGTCCAATGAGATTTGAAAATTGAAGTTATGTAACTAAATT